TCACATCTGTTCATGCAAATGTAGGCTAAATTTGCATGCCCCCCGTAGCTTCTGCTGCAGTTGCTCAAGATTTACGCTCCAGGGAGTGTACAGGAGTTCCAGGCGGGTAAGTCTTGTAATCGTTCCCTAGTTTTCTTCAGCACGTGCAACCCGCAGCACGTTGCCGACTTCCGGGAATTACTCCGATCAGGGCCCCGGAACTCCCCTCACCAGCTTCTTTTAACCCTAAAAGAGTTTTATTTTTTCCCGGTTAGATTGCATAAATATAAATGTGTTGTTAAACCTACAACCACCCGACACAACAATCGGTAAGGTTTGCCACGTAAACAAAACCTGCCAGATAGTTACAACTTCAGCACACACCGGTGTGTTAGAGAGTAAACCTCACTACAACATTCACAATTCTATTGCCGTGACGTTTCGCCGGTAATTAGAACCAGCTTCATCAGGCGACGGACAGAATCTGTGGAGAAATCCTCATCCTGTTTCGGTCTTAAATAGAGGGATGAATGTCATGTCGTCACTATGAGCTAATCGGGTGCGAAGACCAGCATGGAGGTTGTGTTAATGTAGTCATATGGATTACAATGGGTATATATTATGTATGTCACATTACCATTTTTTGGGTCCATGAATATTTCCTCCATCCGACCCCTCGTTTACATTTAACTTTGCCCGGGCTTTTACAAATTAACCTCTCTGCCAATCAGATTTGAGTGTTTCACCACCCTCCATTCAGATTGTGTGCACAACGCATCAGCTCTCCATGTGACAGATCACTCGTGGGAATTGAGCACCTTATTTCAACTCAAGTCCTTAAGACTCGATTGCTATTAATTGTTGATTTATTTACATAATAGGATTCACCGCTCGTTCCTTGCACAAGTATAGATTGTATAGATTTCCACCACTATATGTTCACGTCACTATAAATCTCTAGATTCACTCCACTGCTGATTCTACAGATTCTCACCACCTCTGATTAGCACGGTTGGCTACGTACGGTCCGCAAGAAGTTCAACACCCATACGAGAGTCTACAGATTCTCACCACTGTATATTCTATAGATCTACACCACTGAGAGTCTCTATGCGCCTCAAGAGCAGTAAAAAGAGAAAGGATCTGTGAATCTAATAGTGCATCAATTTCATTGTGGAAGCGTCATGGCGGCGAGACGTTAACGACCTCGCCTGATATGCATGAGGTAGTGGGTTTGATCCCCACCCTGACTCCTTTATGTATGGAGTTTTATGTTCTTCCCATGGTCGCGTTGATTTTTCTCCAGGTCCTCCGGTTTTTGCCTCCACATTTATAAACATGCATTTAGAGTATGTGTATGATATAAATTTCCACATACAGTGAGGGAAAACAGTATTTGATCATCTGCTGATTTTGTACGTTTGCCCACTGACAAAAAAATGATCAGTCTATAATTTTAATGGTAGGTTTATTTGAACAGTGAGAGAGAATAACAACAACAAAATCCAAAAAACGCTTGTCAAAAATGTTATAAATTTGTGTGCTGGTGGCCGTGAGCAGGAATTAAACTCTGGTCGCCGGGTTCATAGTGCAGAGCTCAAACACACATGGACACACGTACATTTCTGTTGTCATTTAGGTATCACAGTGTTCCATAAGCAGTGCCACGGTGGCGAGATGTTAACTCCCTCGCCCGGTATGCAGAAGGTCATGGGTTTGATGCATATTTGGAGTTTGCATGTTCTAACCGTGGTCGCGTGGATTTTTCTCCGGGTCCTCTGGTTTTTCCCTCCACATTTAGAATCAACATCACGCGTTTTAGAGAATTTGGCTGCGATACATTTCCACATGAAGCCACTTCGTTGAGCTGTCGTTTGTGGCCAGGTCGCTTCTGATAAAGAGTTATATCGCCCAGTGGGCCTTAAACCTGGTGCAAAAAAATATTTTAAAAAATATTTCTTGTACAATAATTTAAACCTGTTTTCGGACCAGTTGGTCTGGATCCACTGATTTTGATTTGGATGGAATGTGCGCAGCAGTAGTGGCTCTGATCTCTTCGACGGAAGTCTCGGGGGTTGAAATAAAAACTCGTTTCTCCAAAACCCTGGGTTTAAACAACTTACAAAACACTCAAACAATTACTGTATCTCACATGCTGGCTTTCACGATGAGATGATGCAATAGCTTTGATATGTTGTGTTTCGTTCCGCACACACGTTTGGTGTCGCGATTGCACTATGTACGTGTGTATGTTGAACTTCTTTTGCACCGTACGAAGCCAACCGTGCTAATCGGAGGTGCGTTGTACAATACAAGCAATATAGGCGTGGAGAGGGGAGACCTTCCTGAGCTGCGCTGCGCAGTTTGTGTCGCGTGACACAAGTGTTATCTCAATAAGAACAGGAATCCAACACCTTCCATGAACTCCGTGACACATCACTCCCGGCGCTGTCGTGAGCCTGAATTAACGTAACAACATCACGTCGTTCAATCGCATAATTAAATTGAACCCTTATTTAATATCCTGCCGTACTATGGCAATCACCATCTCAAAGCACCTTGCGAGTTTACAGCACTGCCGAGGAATAAGGGCGCAACAATTGGGTGACGGTAAAACAAAACGTCAAAACCGTTGCCTTTTTCATGAAAAAACAAACAAATCCGTATTGAACGCGCGCACAGGGCGACATTTCTGGTCCTTTGCAACTTAAGTGGGCCCTCGGACACGGTGGTGATGGAGAGTGCGGTGGGGTGGTATTGTAGCCGTCAGCGCTACGCTGCGCTACGAACCTGACGACCCGGGTTCGATTCCCGCTCACGACCAACACCCAGTTGTGATGATTATCTGAACTGGTCGTGGGCCTCCCCTAGGTCGACTTAGCCTCAAATGAGTACCTGGTGCGATGTGTAAACATCGCCACTGGGGACACAAAGGCGGCCGGGCATGGTGTTGGCCACCCACCCTCTTCGTGTGCGGTGTCGGCCTTCATAGGTGCTGCTCACTAACAGCACTTGCGCCTACAGTCTGTTAAGGCTACACGGGCGGGGGGGGAAGTCTTTGGTGAGGCGTGGGAGCCTCGCGGGTGGAGAGATGCGGAAATGCTCGGCCCGGCCCGTTGGCCCATTGGCCCGACCCAGCCCGCCGGCCCGTTCGGCCTACGTGAGCGTGGCGGTCTGGCAACGGCTCCACCCTCCACCCTCCACTACCCCGGGGCCGAGTCCCGTGACCGACGCGGCCCACGTGATGGCAGCAGCGCGTGCCTTTGTGTCTGCTCACGTGACTTACCCGCATTGTTCTTCACGGCAAACCTGCAATGCAGCATTCTTAGCTGCTGGCTCACCCAGAAAGAAAACTTTAAGCGGTGGTAAACGTTTCACTATCTAGCACCCTTAAATTGCGACATCGTCATATTCTTCTCTTTAAAGGACCATAAACTCATTTCCCAGGGATCGGCTTTAAAATGCCCTGACATCAACACTTGGTCTTCTTGGGCAATGCACAAACAACGAGGAGTATTTATCGGCAGATTCTCCAACTTTGTGTTCTTGAGATTTTAACAACAGCTTGATAAGGAAAGAGGAAGCACCCTACAAAGAGACAAAGATCCCCCATTTAGCCTTAACAGACTATTGGGGAAAGTGCTCCTCGCAGAGCACCTATGAAGGCCAGCACGGCACACGAGGGGGTGGGTGGTCATCGTCACACCCAGCCACCTTTGTTTCCCTCTTGTCCATGTTTACATGCCGCACCAGGTACTTATTTGAGGGTGAGCCAGATGATCGTCATTGGTGTTGGGCGTGAGCGTGAATCGAAATGAGGTAGTCACGTTCGTAGTGCAACGTGCTAACTGCTGCACTACCACTCCCCACTACAGAGAGACACAGAGCCAGAGACTGATTTGTCGAAATACAGACATGGAGAGACACAGATTCGTGAGGAGAGAGAGGTGAGTGCAGAGAGAGGACTCGATCATTAATTGCAGGCGTTTACGAACTTCAGTCCATTATTGCTATGGGGCAGTGCCCATGATAAAAAAAAGTAAACGGGTGGAGAGTGCTCACCTGGACTGGAGAATTGACTCTGCCACCTGTGTGGGAGCGTCTGGGGTAGACGCTGAGCTTCAGCGGAAACAGGCCACAGCAGCTGACACGTTCAGCAGTGAGTAACGTGAGCTAGAGGCTAGAGACAGGCAGGTCGTTGCCGAGAAACATCTGGAAGTTCACCGGCGTCGGTTCAACCAAGGATTACTGCTGATGAGACACTGAATACGAAAAAAATGGGTCCAGTGTTTTTCTTGTGTTGAACTAAGACTGCCAAAATGCACTCCCAGAAGGAAGGCCGTGTGGCTAATCGGATGTGTAGCTTTTGTTTTTTTTTATAATGTGGAGACACAGATGGGAAGGAGGAGTCTTGTCTGCTTTTTACAAAGGGGCCAGGACACCGCCGCTACTGCTGCTGCCCGCGTGGTGGCGGGTGAGGTCTGCAATTTGGACAGAAAGAAAGTGGCCGTGCAATCGATCACATAGCGGTGACCTCCAGCACTTTTCCTGATTCCTACGACACGAGCGGACAGGCAAATGGTTGAAAGCCTCGTAAGCAGTGCGTTACTTACGGAACAACCGAACTTGCAAATCGCATAACCGACGCTGTTTCTTTTACCAAGGGGTGTGCGCTGAACGGGACGTTTTGCTATCTGGACGGACGATCTGCCTCGTCTGGAACTGAGGCTATCAAGTCCTATTCAAATGGGACGCAGAGTTACAGTAGTGACTCGGCTCAGCGACAGTACGTGCGCCGCTTTGCTGCAGAAGTTGACGGTTCGAATCCAGCGGTCGCCTTGATTCGTACTGCGGCTGTGTTCACAATGCTGCACACCGTCTACTTCATGTTGCAGATCCCGGGGTCCCTCCGCTTTTGCTTGGTGCTCTCTACTTTCTGCCATGAGCAAGATAACTGTCAGATGTTGGCGCTCCTGTGAGACTCCTCTCTCTCCCGCTTGTGCCTGACCTGTTCCTCGCAGGTCGAGCCACAGCTGAGCCTCTCTGATCCGCAAGCCAGGCCAGAAGAGGGGGACGACGCCGCGAGGGTGGTGGATGGCACACGGAGCGTGCTGAGCCTCAAGGCCGTGCGTGCCCTGCTGGGCCTGGTAGCCGTTCTCGCCATCGCGTTTGCCGGTGTGCTCGCCGCTCTCGTCGTCAACATCAAGGGTACGCTACGCACGTGGCCTCTCGCAGGCTCGTGAGAGGTCTCCTACACGCAGTGAGCACGTTAGAGGTCTCCTACACGCAGTGAGCTCGTTAGAGGTCTCCTACACGCAGTGAGCACGTTAGAGGTCTCCTACACGCAGTGAGCACGTTAGAGGTCTCCTACACTCAGTGAGCACTTTAGAGGTCTCCTACACTCAGTGAGCACTTTAGAGGTCTCCTACACTCAGTGAGCTCGTTAGAGGTCTCCTACACTAAGTGAGCTAGTTAGAGGTCTCCTACACCCAGCACGTTAGAGGTCTCCTACACTAAGTGAGCTCGTTAGAGGTCTCCTACACTAAGTGAGCTAGTTAGAGGTCTCCTACACTCAGTGAGCACGTTAGAGATCTCCTACACTCAGTGAGCACGTTAGAAGTCTCCACGCAGTGAGCACGTTAGAGGTCTCCTTCACGCAGTGAGCACGTTAGAGGTCTCCTACACTCAGTGAGCTCGTTAAAGGTCTCCTACACTCAGCACGTTAGAGGTCTCCTACACTCAGTGAGCACGTTAGAGGTCTCCTACACTCAGTGAACTCGTTAGAGGTCTCCTACACTCAGTGAACTCGTTAGAGGTCTCCTACACTCAGTGAGCACGTTAGAGGTCTCCTACACTCAGTGAGCACGTTAGAGGTCTCCTACACTCAGTGAACTCGTTAGAGGTCTCCTACACTCAGTGAGCACGTTAGAGGTCTCCTACACTCAGTGAGCACGTTAGAGGTCTCCTACACTCAGTGAACTCGTTAGAGGTCTCCTACACTCAGTGAGCTCGTTAGAGGTCTCCTACACGCAGTGAGCACGTTAGAGGTCTCCTACACTCAGTGAGCACGTTAGAGGTCTCCTACACTCAGTGAGCACGTTAGAGGTCTCCTACACTCAGTGAGCACTTTAGAGGTCTCCTACACTCAGTGAGCTCGTTAGAGGTCTCCTACACTAAGTGAGCTAGTTAGAGGTCTCCTACACTCAGCATGTTAGAGGTCTCCTACACTAAGTGAGCTCGTTAGAGGTCTCCTACACTAAGTGAGCTAGTTAGAGGTCTCCTACACTCAGTGAGCACGTTAGAGATCTCCTACACTCAGTGAGCACGTTAGAAGTCTCCACGCAGTGAGCGCGTTAGAGGTCTCCTTCACGCAGTGAGCACGTTAGAGGTCTCCTACACTCAGTGAGCTCGTTAAAGGTCTCCTACACTCAGCACGTTAGAGGTCTCCTACACTCAGTGAGCACGTTAGAGGTCTCCTACACTCAGTGAACTCGTTAGAGGTCTCCTACACTCAGTGAACTCGTTAGAGGTCTCCTACACTCAGTGAGCACGTTAGAGGTCTCCTACACTCAGTGAGCACGTTAGAGGTCTCCTACACTCAGTGAACTCGTTAGAGGTCTCCTACACTCAGTGAGCTCGTTAGAGGTCTCCTACACGCAGTGAGCACGTTAGAGGTCTCCTACACTCAGTGAGCACGTTAGAGGTCTCCTACACTCAGTGAGCACGTTAGAGGTCTCCTACACTCAGTGAGCACGTTAGAGGTCTCCTACACTCAGTGAGCACATTAGAGGTCTCCTACACGCAGTGAGCACGTTAGAGGTCTCCTACACTCAGTGAGCACGTTAGAGGTCTCCTACACACAGTGAGCTCGTTAGAGGTCTCCTACACTCAGTGAGCACTTTAGAGGTCTCCTACACGCAGTGAGCACGTTAGAGGTCTCCTACACTCAGTGAGCACGTTAGAGGTCTCCTACACGCAGTGAGCACGTTAGAGGTCTCCTACACTCAGTGAGCTCGTTAGAGGTCTCCTACACTCAGTGAGCACGTTAGAGGTCTCCTACACGCAGTGAGCACGTTAGAGGTCTCCTACACTCAGTGAGCACGTTAGAGGTCTCCTACACTCAGTGAGCACGTTAGAGGTCTCCTACACGCAGTGAGCACGTTAGAGGTCTCCTACACTCAGTGAGCACGTTAGAGGTCTCCTACACTCAGTGAGCACGTTAGAGGTCTCCTACACTCAGTGAGCACGTTAGAGGTCTCCTACACTCAGTGAGCACGTTAGAGGTCTCCTACACGCAGTGAGCACGTTAGAGGTCTCCTACACGCAGTGAGCTCGTTAGAGGTCTCCTACACGCAGTGAGCACGTTAGAGGTCTCCTACATGCAGCACGTTAACACCTCGTCACCAGGTGTGAGCGAGCCGACTATTGCTGCCCCACCACATGAATAATAAAATGACTTTTTCCCATCCCATCAGCCACATTGCCTTGGTTCAACAACAATGTTGATTCAACAAGAGCGACCTCTGACTCGGTTTGGACATTCAGTGTTTCATCTGCAGAACCATTGCTGGTGAACTGCCAGAACTTGTTGTATTAACAAGGACCCTCTCTGTTAGATATGGGTCCGAGTTCGTCGCAAAAAATATATATAATGTGCAACGCGGAACAATCACGAGCACACCGGGACAAAATTAGTTTATGTTGCGTATTTTATAGTTTTCATTCGAAGCCAGCACCTATATCTAACAGAGAGGGTCCTGACTTAAGCGAGACTAACTGCTGATGAGACTTTTAGGAACGTGATGGAGTCAACAGTTTTCGTGTGCCAACCACCTGTATGAAATACCATTGTCATTAATATATTAATGATCAAGGTGCGCGCGTTGCAGTGATGTCCCCCGTGGGGGTTTACGAGCCCCGGCCCCCTGTCGCGTCTGTAGGCAAGGTGCCGCCGCCCGTGTGCCTGACTGACGTGTGCGTCAACGACGCGAGGCTCATGCTCAACTCTATGGATCCCACTGTCGAGCCGTGCCAGGTATGGAGACACGCGCCCGCCACAGTGGCATCACCACGGTTCACGCGTGAGGCTGGATGTAACCTTGAACGTCGTTGTGGAGAACATCATTAACGAGATGGTTAAGCGGACGATGCGCCTCCGTCCCATATCCATCTCTCCGCATAAAACATTTGCTCAAACCATCGGCCGCACGGCCATCTGGGAGTGCGTCGTTTGCAGACCAACAACCACAAATTAACATTCTTGCAGCATTGAATCAGAGCAAACTCTGCTCGGCTTTGACACATACAGTGTCTCATCGGCAGAGTGTGAGGCTGGGTGGGCTGGCCTCGCTTTGCAGTGAGTCGTGGGATAGGCTGCGATGCTTCGTGTCAACCCACGAGGACAAGTGGCAAAGGCATCGACTGCACTCCCCATTTGTGACCGTTGGTCTCGCCGTTTGCGTCGCGCGAGGCGATCTCAGCGCCGCCACCACTGTTTCTGTCGCAGGACTTTTACGCGTACGCGTGCGGCGCATGGCAACCCAATGAGCGGTTGCCCGGGGGTACCGCCAGCTGGAATCAACGCAACATCACATGGAACGGAAACCTCAAGTTCCTGCGCGACATCTTGGGTGGGTGCTGCCCGCCTCCTTAGGGAGAATGTTAAGAATGATATAAATGATGCCTCTTTCTCCTCTTTGTCTTTCTGAATAAAGATAAAAGTATATATTTTTACACAACCCATCAGCCGCACGACCTTCTGGGAGTGTATCTTAGCAGGAGCATTAGTTCAATAAAAGTAAACTCTGGACCAGTTTCTAAACTCGGTGTCACATCAGTAGGATTAGGCCTACTTGAACCAATGCTGTGAGTTGCCAGATGTTTAAAGACATGGACCCTCACTGTAACTCACTGTAATAAATGGGTCCTAGTTTAACGCAAAACTCCAATACATAACATTAAATTGCCTTCTGGTCATCTTGCAGAAGAGCAGGATTGGGAAGTTCATGAATATCTACGTAATTCATCAACCATTGCAAACTTCATCCACATCTCCATCATTAACTTTATCGGCAACATCATTTCCATCTTCATTTATCTTTATAAACATAATCATTCACACAATCATCGTTCTAATATCACTCGCCACTGATGTTAGTTATGGCTGGGTATCAACCTCAGGTCACTAATTTCATAGCGCCGTGTGCAAACCACGATGCCACCACTCCACTCAAGTCTTATTTGGTACATGATGTCATGGGACGGAAAACTCTGGTGTAGTCGTCTTTGGTTCTTTCGGTAAAGTCACGTAGAATGAGAATAAAATAATAAATTGATAAAATAAAATAACACAATAATATTCTCACGACGTTTCGGCCACAACACAAGCAGCCTTCATCAGGTGAAGGGACGAGACTGTCTGGTAGGACAGCGCTGGAGTGAAAAAGCCACGCTCAGATCACGACCTTTAAGCTGTGTGAGAAGAAACAAAGCGCCTTGACAAAGGAATTAGCATATAATTTAGCATTGAAATGGCTGAGTGATTAGCTTGTGACTGGTCACAGAAATGGCTATGTTAAAGTTAAAGCATACACATCCGCAGAGGCACCCCTTGACAAAGGAATTAGCATAGAATTTAGCATTGAAATAGCTAAGTTAAAGCATACACATCCGCAGAGGCACCCCTTGACAAAGGAATTATCATAGAATTTAGCTTTGAAATAGCTGAGTGATTAGCTTGTAACTGGTCACAGAAATAGCTATGTTAAAGTCAGAGCATACACATTCACCGAGGCACCTAGTACAAATCAAACAAGAGAATTTAGCATTGAAATAACTAGGCGAATTTAGCATTGAAATAACTGAGTGATTAGCTAGTGACTGGTCACAGAAATGGCTATGTTGAAGTCAAGGCCTACACATCTGAGCTATTCACAGTTACTGTGAATAGCTCAGATGTGTAGGCACAGTTACTGTGAATAGCTCAGATGTGTAGGCCTTGACTTAAACATAGCCATTTCTGTGACCAGTCACTAGCTAATCACTCAGTTATTTCAATGCTAAATTCGCCTAGTTATTTCAATGCTAAATTCTCCTGTTTGATTTGTACTAGGTGCCTCGGTGAATGTGTATGCTCTGACTTTAACATAGCTATTTCTGTGACCAGTTACAAGCTAATCACTCAGCTATTTCAATGCTAAATTCTATGATAATTCCTTTGTCAAGGGGTGCCTCTGCAGATGTGTATGCTTTAACTTAGCTATTTCAATGCTAAATTCTATGCTAATTCCTTTGTCAAGGGGTGCCTCTGCGGATGTGTATGCTTTAACTTTAACATAGCCATTTCTGTGACCAGTCACAAGCTAATCACTCAGCCATTTCAATACTAAATTATATGCTAATTCCTTTGTCAAGGCACTTTGTTTCTTCTCACACAGCTTAAAGGTCGTGATCTGAGCGTGGCTTTTTCACTCCAGCGCTGTCCTACCAGACAGTCTCGTCCCTTCACCTGATGAAGGCTGCTTGTGTTGTGGCCGAAACGTCGTGAGAATATTATTGTGTTATTTTATTTAATCAATTTATTATTTTATTCTCATTCTACGTGACTTTACCGAAAGAACCAAAGAAGATGAATCCTTGCAGTCACGAAAGCTTTAAATCCGGTGTAGTCCTCTGTAAATGTCGTAAGTTGAGTGAGGGATGCTGAGAGTGCTCAGGCCACACGCAGTTTTAGAACTGGGGTCGTTAAACAACAACCACCGCTAAACCGGTGACCGTTTGTGTCAACGGTTAGCGATTCCAAAAGCCAGGAACTGGCAACCGTTTCCTGTGGAGTTCAAGCAATGATCGCACCGATTGGCACGCGTGGATGTACTAACGGTACGGTGCAGCTCCTGGTTGGCCAGCGGCAGCCGTATTCCAGTGCCTAGGCCGAATCCAGTCCCCACGTGGTGCGGTCGTGCCTCGGCAAGATAAAACGGTAAAGGCCCAGCCCCCCAATTGCTCGATCACACCACTGCTCGTTTAAACGTTTCCACTAGGGGGAGTTCTGGAAGGGATTTGTTCTCCTCTTCCACGCTGACGAGATGCGTTGTACCCACACTTTACTCCACGACACGCAACCTGCCCATCGACGAACTGGAGTGCCCATTCACACCGCTAGGTGGACAGAGGTGGGGAGATTAAAATAGACTTGCCCCATGCTTTCAACTGCCACGCCACAAGATGGAATCGAACCACGTCCTCGAGACTCAAAGACACACAGACACACAGGGCTGTGCGTGTGTGTTCATCGTTATGCATGGTTTTACTTGCAGTTAACCAGCAACCGGGTTTGTTTTCGTTTTTACAACGCGGTTAGTGGCAGTGAAAGGGAGACGTTTTTAACGCCCCCCCCCCCAATCACCACCCCCGTGCTTTCCCTCACCTTCAACCTCTCGTCTCAAATTCGGATTCCGTGCCCTGGCTTAATAAAGTACAACGTTCAAGCGTATTCTCCCGCCACGTAAAGGGGCTCACAGGACAAAAAAGAGGCGTTCGGGATTTTAAAATACAATATATTTCAATTCAGCATCCTTTAACACCTCGCAATACAAACGTTTGTGGGTCTAGGTCAGGGGTCGTCAACTTGCGGCTCTGGAGCCGCGTGCGGTGGCTCTTTTGTTTCCACCTTCCGGCTCTTTGGCTGCCCCCTTGTGGGCAGCCGTTTAAAAAAAAACTTAAATCTTTAACATCATTTCACGGTAAAGATAATTAATTAAACATGGCAGGCAATGGGTTGCGATCCATCTATTTTGTTTATTTAAGTCAGACTGTGTGTTGTCATCTGCTGTATACCTGCTGTGTCTGTGTTTGTGTACAAGTGGCAGTGCGTGTGATGCGGCTCTAAACCTGTTTTGGTCAAAGACAAAAACTAAAAAAATGTCTCTTCTTCTTTGAAAGGTTACTGACCCCTGCCCTAGATACTTTGTAGGTCTATCTACCTACAAACTATCTACCTGCCCTAAATAGTTTGTAGGACTTGACTATCACTGTGCCAAATGTAAATGTTGTGTTCCCTTTCGAGAGCACCTTGGACTCGCGGCCCTATTCATTAAAGTATGTGTTGATTTTTTGACGTCGTGAATATGAATGCCTGCGAATGAATTTGTGTTGCAGAAAATGCCACCTTCTCCGCTGATCAGTCGTCAAACACCGACGCACAGACGTTCTACCGCGCGTGCATGAACCAGGGGCGCATCGCCGAGCAGGGCGCCCAGCCCCTGCGCGACCTCATGGACGGGGTACGGTTTCCGCTAAGCGTGCACGCAAACATCGCGACGTAGCGGAGAGGGCACTCCTTTCCACTAAGCGCGCACGCAAACATGGTAGCCTAGCAGCAGCAACAACAACTGCTTCCATCAACATGAATCCCTAATTACAGTGCTAATCTCCTTAATATTGACTAACTCAAGTAAGCAATTAACGCGTAAATAGAATCACATAGCATTACAATTCTCGATTCATTACTAACGCACACAATTCCTTAAGTATGGCCTATTTTCACAAACTACTACTGTAGTTAGATAGATTACTACTGTAGATAAATAGATTCACCTTATTACCTTATTACATACCTTATTACACTAACCAACTCTGCCAATCATAACCAATCAACCAGTACTCAACTCTCATTATTAATAATAATGCTTGATAATATAGTTACAGTAGCATGGACATAAATACAACCTTTGTTTAAAACTGGGCCGGAGTCTGGAAGAGGTGTCGGGGTGCCTAATGGGATCAATATATGGCATTGACTTAAAGCTTTCGTGACTGCAGGAATTCATAGTCTATGGATCTTTAGGTAAAGCCACGTAGATATAACAAATAATAAAATAATAACAATATCACGACGTTTCGATCGCAACACAAGCAATCGTGATCAGGTGAAAAATACACCGGCAGAGCTGCTGAGAATATCTGGTGGGAGCGCTGCTCAGGCAGGGAGTTATAAAGGTTTGAGATGGGTGTAGCCCAAGGGTCAGTGGGCGGGGCTAGAGATGAAATTTGCATGTAAATGTAAGATCGGAGAAATCTTAACAAACGAAGCTGTGTGCTGCCATTGTATTGTGAGAGATTAGCATGTCAATGTAAGAACTTTGCTTGTAAATGTAAGGCTCGGAGAGAGCTCAGAAAGAGCCATCGCCACATGGAGGTGGACAAGGATGGCAAGCCGCCATTTACTAATGTAGCCCAAGGGTCAGTGAGCGGGGCTAGAGATCAAATTTGCATGTAAATGTAAAATTTCTCCGATCTTACATTTACATGCAAATTTCATCTCTAGCCCCGCCCACTGACCCTTGGGCTACACCCATCTCAAACCTTTATAACTCCCTGCCTGAGCAGTGCTCCCACCATATATTCTCAGCAGCTCTCCCGCTATATTTTTCACCTGATGACGATTGCTTGTGTTGCGATCGAAACGTCGTGTTTCCCTTCAACGTGACTATACCGAAAGAGCTAAGAATACGTCGTGATATTGTTATTATTTCTATTATTTTATTATTTGTTCTATCTACGTGGCTTTACCGAAAGACACAAAGAATGCAGCAGACGCAAGAAATATATGGCATGTGAATACGTTGGTGAGGGGAGGGCTGCCGGTAGGGGAGAAATGTGATTGACTAGGCGGCAGCCAATCGGAAGCATTCTAGGGGTTGGTTGTCCTATTCTATCATTTAGGTAGTAGATATCGATGGTATGTCATGCATTTATTTAAATAATTAAAATATAAATATTAGAACACAGATATGGTACCACTGAAATGCCGGGCTCCATTCGGGTTGTTCAAGGGTACGTGTTCTAGTCACGAGAATGATTCATTGCGGTCTGAGTACCATGCAGCAGACGCAAGATGTGTCCCCACTGGGCATGAAGTAGAAGTGACGAGGGCTCACTCGAGTACTCGTTTCGTATGTTGCGTTCAGGGACCGTTTTTCGGCACAAGGTGATGCACTGCTCGCCGAGTTTCGAGTGCAGATCTCAGCCAGCGACATCACCATTGACTGTTCAGAAAAGCGAGGGGGCTTGTGTAGGACACGCCGCTAGAGGGGATGATGGCCGGGTGATGAGACGAGATTCACCTGAGCGGATACCCCACCGAAGGGAGATGGAGCAGTCACTTTGTGTTGACAAACGAAATGGATCGTTGCATTGCAGGACCGAGCGAGTGACAATCACGTGGCTAGGCCTTCTTCCAGCAGTGGACAGCACATGGCTGATGATTTTGGAATGTTCACTTAGACCTTGCTTCGCGCTCAATTTGCATTCCTGGAGAAGTGAGCGCCCATCGAATCGGCGCTAAAAGGGGTCATTATACCATTGTATATATGGGGATATGTTCCCGACGGCATTATTTCTTACGTGTGAGCAAAATATGAGGGCTTCATTGGGGTATCGGTAATAGCCATAATAGTTTAACACGTAGGCAATTCTGGGGTAATTCTGGCGAATTGCCCGATGATGCTGGATGTATTTACCAGCGAAACGTCGTACTCAAACTGTAAATGTGGATTCACTCTTCTACACACCGGTGGGCTAAAGTAGTGAATTATTTTTCTTTTGTCAACGTGACACTTTTTTTGCTGATTGGCCGTGTCGGGTGGTGGAGGGTTACGACACATTTATAAATAAACGCGATCTAACCCAAAAACCTTTATTATGAATAGCCATAATACTCGTACAGATTGTATCAATAAAGATAATTTATTTTTGTATGATAATAAGTAAGTATTATGGACTGTACTCACCAGTGTATCGTCGTGACGCTCACGACCCACACCCACATGGCGCTCAACTGCCTCGACCTGCTGCTGCCGCCTCCTCATCATTTTAACATCCAAAGCGATCCTTTTCCTTGACACTTTGGGCTCGTTTCCAGCGCGGATACTTGCAGGCACCTCCGATTAGAACAGCTGGCTACGTACGGTGCGAAATAAGTTCAATATACATACATTGGGTCTGAAATGCTCGTAGAAACACACGAAATAAAAGCAGAGAGAGATCAAGGGGGAGTAAACACACGCCGGCGGGTGGCTGTTTTTATTTATTGGCGGGCGCTTCATGGCTCAGAGGGTGCTGTAATAACATTGAATAATAAAAATCAAATGTTTTTTATAATCTCGTGACTACGAATCATGATAATCAAATCTTGGGGTGCGGGGTGCTGACTGGCTCAGAGCATTAGGCGGTGCCATTGGCTGAGTGAATGTGAACAAAATAGCGGCGGGTGTGTTTCCTGAGCTCTGCGTGCTCTCACTCAAAAGCACTTTCTAGATTTTTGGATTTTCCTTATTTTTGCTAAAATTTTCTCCAGGACAAATAGCGCTGTAACGAAACAGTGTTCTTCAGGATAGCGCTAAGCGAGGTCTGGATATAAAATGAGTATTTGTGAAAATAGCAACTCACATACATTGCTTTTCACAGTTTTTGAGCACAGGCCCCAAGTCCCAAAACATTAAGCGGACAGCAACAGACACCACTATCATAGTTGCAATAGGTTGGAGTGTAACGCGAAGCCGTCATTATATGAGCCAGGGGACAAGAGACGCTGGTGGGAGAGAATTCCAAAGTGGGGCAGTGTGAGGTAAGAGAAGTGTTGTGTGACTTGTGAGTGAGCGGGTGGGTAGGTAAGTGGGTGAGTGGGTGGATGAGTCTGTTGTTGTGACCTGCAGTATTGGTGAGTAACTGGGTGGATAGGGTAGTGAGAGTGCTGTTGTAAGCTGCAGTGTGATGGCTGAACACAGGATGAGAGGAAGCATTGATTCTGGTAGACAGATTCCTCCACGTGCTGGAATGACTCTACAGCAGCAGCACGGAGGTGAATAACAGCGATGTGAACAGGAACGTGTGCCGCTTTATTCACCTAAATTATTTTTATTTTACCAGGTAAAGCTGTGTATCTTGTTTTTCAGAAGCGACCTGGCTATCACAAATTATAGCTCAAAGAAGTGTAGCAGCCAAATACTCCAAATGTGGGGGGAAAAATCTTGAGGACCCGGAGAAAAATTTACGCAACCACGGGGAGAGAGAATCACGCAAACCCCAAATGTCACAGGCGTGAGGGTCGGGATCCGAGCCACGACCTCCTGTATATCGGGCGAGGTAGTTGACATCTCCTAGCCACCGTGGCACCCCACTGAAGAAAGCGGGGCTCAAGCGACTGCTTCTGACTCAACGCCGGCTCTGCCCTGTGCTCTGTGACAGCTCGGCGGCTGGATTCCGACACCCAACAAAACCACGAATCTCACCGAGTTGCTGACCAACACCACCCTAAACTTCCTGCTGCCAGCGCTCTTCAGTGCCCAAGTGGTGCAGAGCGGCTCCAAGGATAAGCTCTTTCTAGAGGTAAGCACACACCGCTACGCGCACAGGATGCGCTCGTTGCGAGACACGGTCGTTGCCGAGATGTGGAATCGACGAGTGAAGTTGACGGGGAACCGTAACCGTGGTCGCGGCAATAAAAGAGCGAGAGGGAGGCGGTGAGCGAGTGGCTCGAGTGAACCGGTGAGTGCTGGATCATCAATCACGCTGACTGCGTTGCATTGATTGCATGTCCAGCGCAGCAGTGTTGTAGGAGCTGAGTGCTGCACCCCGGGTATATGAAAGCAGCAGGATTTCAGCTTCAACTGAATCCTGAGTTGTGTAAAGCAGCAGCAGTGATAATGGCTCAGAGTGAACGAGGCTTTAGCATGGAAAAGGAATCGAAGCTTCTTTTTCACTGCCTTGATAGCCAGATGAGTGACACAGCCATTCCATGACTGCCCAGATGAGATTGTTGTGCTCAAGCAGGATTCATGGTTGTACTCTGGATAAAGTTATTACTGTTAAACATTGATGGTAAAAACTGTGGAATTGCCAGCCTTACACATTAGTTATCATGGTTTTTTAGTTGAACGTGACCTGGTATTTTTTTTCACCCCAAACCAGACTTGTTTCACATCAGTGGTGTTTGACAGTAAAGTAATAGAAACGTATCTGAAGTTAGCTAATTGTGATGGTCAACTAGCTTGTACTAAATCCTTAATTTAACAGAGAATTGATCATTTCACTGACAACATTGATGCTACTGTGTTTGATTTTATCGTGCATTCACGCACACATACACACGCACACACACACGCGTAAATGTGTAAAAACACACATGACATGCATACACAAATGCGCACGCACAAACCCAACGCAGCTTTCTCCCCCGGAGCTTGGGCTTCCCTCGGAGTACCTGACGAGCAACGCGACCCAGCAAGCCCTCAAGGTGAGCGCCGCGACGCTGCTGTCCTCGCACGGAGCGCGCTCGCCGCTCGCGTTGCTCCCACTGCACCAATTCGCGCACCGTGGTGCCCCGCACTGCCGGTGCCCGCGGCGATGTGCGCCGGATTAAGGGAGGCATTCTAGCCGCCCCCGGAAGAGATCTGGAAATGCGCCGTTTTTCCGCAGATTTCGAGATCTCTGCACCCACGAATCACGTGAATTGTATTTCTTGCAACACAGTGGCAATAATTGAGTACGTTTGATATTTGTGCCATCCTTATAGCGGAAGGCCATCACGAAGGCGCTGTGTTGCACAGGCACAGTCTGCAGTAGTTTGACAGTCGAGAGCGATGTTGCTACTGTGTTTGTATTCCCAACGAGAGTCATTTGCAGCAATAATTTTTTTTATTGGGCAAATGAGGACCATGCCGCCCTCACACGGTGGCGTACTCATTTCAAATGACGTCAGGGGATCTTTAACGTCTGCTGTAATGCAAACGGCGCGGAGTGTTTTCCGCTCAATAAACACCGCGGCAGTAACCAGGCAGGCCTCTCAGATTGGTACCGCACACCGCTGCGAATGCGCTACCGCCGTGCCGTGTGACCACGCGAGCCATTGTCACGGGGCGGTCTGCACAGGTGCGGGCCATGTATCTGCACTACATGGTGCGCTCGGCCGTGCTGCTGGGCCAGAGCCTAGGGGATGCGCAGCAGCACATGCAGAAGGTGCTGAGCTTCGAGTCGACGCTGGCCACCATCGTGGCCCGGACTCGGGACTCTGCCGAGCCCAGCGAAGTGACGTTGGATCGCTTGCAAGTGAGGAAATGTGTCTGTGCCACGTGCTGCTCTGTTTGTCGCCCTTTGTGATGGCCAGGCCTGTGCACAACGGGCATCTGGGAACCTTGCGCAACCCTCGCTCTGGAGTGAGGAGCTTACTTTTCTCTCTCTCTGTGGTGTGAGGAGCTCCACTTCTCTCTCTCTGTGGAGTGAGGAGCTCCACTTCTCTCTCTCTCTCTGTGGAGTGAGGAGCTCACCTCTCTCTGTGGAGTGAGGAGCTCACTTCTCTCTCTCTCTGGTGTGAGGAGCTTACTTCTCTCCGTGGAGTGAGGAGCTTACTTCTCTCTCTCTGTGGTGTGAGGAGCTTACTTCTCTCTGTGGAGTGAGGAGCTTACTTCTCTCTCTCTGTGGAGTGAGGAGCTCCACTTCTCTCTCTCCGTGGAGTGAGGAGCTTACTTCTCTCTCTCTGTGGTGTGAGGAGCTCCACTTCTCTCTCTCTGTGGAGTGAGGAGCTCACTTCTCTCTCTCTCTGTGGTGTGAGGAGCTCACTTCTCTCTCTCTGTGGAGTGAGGAGCTCCACTTCTCTCTCTCCGTGGAGTGAGGAGCTTACTTCTCTCTCTCTCTCTGTGGTGTGAGGAGCTCCACTTCTCTCTCTCTGTGGTGTGAGGAGCTCACTTCTCTCTCTCTGTGGAGTGAGGAGCTAACTTCTCTCTGTGGTGTGAGGAGCTCTCTTCTCTCTCTCTCTCTGTGGTGTGAGGAGCTTACTTCTCTCTCTCTCTCTGTGGTGTGAGGAGCTCCACTTCTCTCTCTCTGTGGTGTGAGGAGCTCACTTCTCTCTCTCTCTGGAGTGAGGAGCTTACTTCTCTCTCTGGAGTGAGGAGCTCCACTTCTCTCTCTCTCTGTGGTGTGAGGAGCTCCACTTCTTTCTTGCTCCGGCGGGTTTCGTTGCCAAGAGCATTTTGCAAATGCGCCTGTAGTGCAAATGTGGCTGTTTGCGACGGTGCGCCACGCCGGCATGTCTCAGAAGACCAATGACGCGTCTGCCGCAGTATAAAGAGCAACTCCCCGCTCAATCTGCCTGCCCGTCAGTCTTGCACCATCCTCCAGTACCCGATAATGTCAGCCTCTTATATGCGTCTCTGTAATGAAGCAGCGATCATTTTGAATGTGGCTGCGTGGTGATTTTAAGTACAATCGCACCTCGATCAACACGACTGGCTGATCATATATGGCAGAGTTGACACGTGGACAGGTGGAAATATGGATGGACGAGCTGAGAGACGCTTGCACGATGCCATGAACAGGCACACGGACGCTTACACAGATGGGATCGGGTATGGACACATGTCCACCTCTTGCGATAAAGACACTAAAATGCCGTAGTATGGTTGGCTACGTGCGGTGCGAAAGGAGTCCACCATGCATACAAATTGCACCTGCATTTAAAATGCCTCTGCAAAAAGACAAAACGAGCTTTTGGTTTTTCCTCGTTTTCCCTTTGCAGGCCATTGCTCCATTCATCAACTGGCAAGCATATCTACACAATGGAATACCAAGCGGCTTTCCTCAGTCTGCGGGGCTCCTAGTCTCCTCCACAGCTTACTTCGGAAACCTCACCACGCTCCTCAACCACACGGACGCTACGTACGCCGACGCGTGCACCTCTCGGCACACCTTTTTATTGGTTCACGGACGCCGCGCTCCAGCAAAACCGGGACATCGACTCACGATGCAGTGAACACGTCGCGCAGTAATGTTTTATTTTGCGCGTTGCATCCTTTGTGGAAGAAAAATTGCGTCTCAAAAACACCGTGAACTTTGTGACGCGCGAAGGCCGTGGGAAGCCACAGACAAGCGCTCGCGAAGACAGCCAGAACCGTGCGCTACTACTACCAACAATGAATTAATTTATTTCGTTTCAGCAGGGGAGAACTCGAGAGAGACCGGGATGAGTCTAATTTGCAAAGGTTGACGCGGGGCATCGATCTGCCAGCCAGTAGGGGGTGATGCTTGTTGCTGTGTGTGTAATCCCAGGAGAGTAATTTGCGGGTCAATTTATAATTTAGCAAATTTGTACCCTGATGCCGGCGGTGCACGATGGTCTGCTCTTGCGAATGATGCCAGGGCATCATTTAAGTCTGCTGTGAAACAAGAGGGCGCGCATTTTTTTCTGGCGGCTGCCTGATGATGCTGGTTGTGTAACTACGGAGCAAAATGTTGGGCACATTTGTGAAATGTTGTGAGATTGCTCACCAACACGGAGGTGGTGCTGCCAAAGCAGAGATACATTGGCCACGTTTTGTTCGTCACGTGACAACTTTATCCGTTGGCCATGTCAGGTGGAGGATGGTTTATAACGCACATTTTACTGAGGTGAATCTGACCCAGAGATCAACAATGAATCGGGCGTGTAGTGTTATTATTGTTATTGCAGCCGCATTCATAATCAGGGCGGCCGCTGCATTTCAAGCGTGGACCACTACAACAAGCGGAGGTGGAGGTACCGCTAGGCCATGTCACCTCTCAATCGCCCGAGCTCTGTGGTCCTATATGAGAATGTTTGACCAACTCCATGAATGAGTGTTTTATACGTGTGGGAGGAAACCCACGTGTGCCAAGGGGGTAAAACTCGATCCCCGTAAAGATGGAAACGAATCCACTTGCTGCACTGCCATTGTACCCTGCAAGCCAGGAGATGACAAAGCACTACGCCCATGGGTAGGGAGGGAACTCTGTAAATCTGTGCCTGTAAGCAAAGCAGGGCACATCTCCCTTGTGAGCGTGATGAGATTGTTTGAGTTATATCAACGGGCACCTAGTCACATGGCACAGGAGCGTGACGTGAGGTTGGCATAGGCATTGTTGTGCATTGTGTGATCACCGTATCACCGTTGCTCACTCGCGCCTGCAGATATATGGAGGCATGGAGTGGATATAGTTTACAATGTTACGTGAAAAAACAGAGACTCTGTCTTCAGGTGGAAGGGTGAATCGATTCCCGACTGGGGGGCACCTTTCGGTGTAGAGTTTGTGTGATCTCCCCCTGCTCTGTGTGTGTTTCCTCCAATAGCAACGAAATATTTACGATCTAACTGGTATTGGCAAAACATCCTGAAAATGACAAATGACTCAACTGGGATTACACGCAGTAACGTCGCACCCTACTGTGACACACGTGGCAGGGTCTTGTCAGTACCAAACGAGATAACCAATGGGCGTTGTGCAAAATCAATAATCTTTTGCGATGTGCATGTCAATTCACACCCTGTGGACACCCTTGCAAATCAGATGTTCCCATCTCAAGGGTTTTTTGGGTGAAATATTTTTAACGAACTAATATAAATGATATCTATGGGACCTTTTTGCCAGTATCAAAACTGATGAAAACTAAGAATAGGTTTTACCCCTTACTGGCAATCAAACTGGAGGAGTTACGATGTTCATATTTTTGCAAGGAATTAAGTCTGCATCAACTACACACAGTACTTGTGGCAAAACAAACATACTCTGATAACACTCGTCTACAGCCAAAATGCTTCCGAAATAAATGTAGTCCAACTTGACTAATTGTGGGTCACTCAGAATGAAAATTATGCTTAACATTGTTGATTGGCTCTAGTTTTCAAGATATGCTAACGGGTCAGTAGATAGGACCCTTGACTTGGGAATGGCGGAGAATGAGTGAGTTATAAAGGGAAGGGATCTCAATTTAAACCAGAAATTACTGGATCTATGAATAAATCTATGACTGGGTTTGGACAGTACTTGCTTTTTGAGCAAAACAATGATGCAATCTGAACCTGGTATTGCATCATGCATGATACGAATTGCATCATGTTATTCCTAGAAGTCATGGATGATGCAATCATAACTAGGCTTACATCGAGATTTTTTCCCACCGAACTGCGGAGCAGTGAGCGACGAGCATGGCGAGCGATTTCACCAGGACATTGCAACAATGGAGAAACGCTATCAGGGCAAATGCAGCCCATCAATGCTTGCAGACTGTGGTTGGACAGTGAAAAGAGATGCTCCCTTTAATTAATACAAGAGACAAGCGAAGATGTGCCGAGTCGACGCTGAATAAGGACTAAACTATGTATTTATATATGCATAATAGTTTTTAGCATTTCGTTTCATGATACATGTTATATCTATATAACCCTTTTGCTGATTATTAAAGTGTTACATGAACAGGACAAGTGACATGTTATCATGTCAAGCAACCATAAACACATGAAAAGACCTAGGTTTACAATTTATGAGTAAAACTCTACTATCCACACAATATACACAGACGTAAAATGTAAAAACTTAAATATCTTGGGAATTGTAGCCAAGCAGTTGTTTTAATTGTCATATTTGAATTCAGCACATTAAAATCCACAATAAACAGCACATTTTATCTCCGAAGCAGACGACGTCTAAAACATTGTAGACCAGCATAATTTTATATGCATTAAATTTCGATTTAAAGCTTTCGTGACTGCAGGGATTCATATTCTCGGTTCTTTCGGTAAAGTCACGTAGAAGGGAAATAATAAAATACAAATAAACAATACAATTCTCATGACGTTTCGACTGCAACACAAGCAATCATCATCAGGTGTGAAAACCACAGCAAGAAAATTTGAAAAAAGTGGCGTTTTTTTCTTAACGTTAGCACCACGGACAGCAACTGGTGGTTAGTCTGATGGACGAGTCCATCTATGCTCGGAACGGAGGAGGGGGGAGCTAGAAAGAGAATGGAATGCGGTCTGAAAGTCACTGTAAGCGTGAACACAATCAATTAAAACCCGAAATGGTTTATCAAAACCTTCCAATGATTGCTAAACCAGAATCCATCTTCTCGGTTGAAATTGTCTCTGTGTTTGTATATGTGGATAGCCTAATGAACGAATCTCTCATGGTAGCCAGATGGCTTGCAGAGAACCTCTGTCCTTGAAACTGATTGGCCTGCACCAGAGACAGCCTTCTTTATGGCCCAATATAAATGAGCTGTCCACCAGGTTGCTTCATTCCAATTTGGCAAATTCCGGCGACGAAACGTGCCCTCCTGCCTTACCTTCCCGTTGTTAGCGTGCCAGCGAGTGCCGTGCTCGCGTGTGTGTGCGTGCGTGCGGTGCGCTACCCGCAGCGTCGTGAGCGGCTACGTGCTCTGGCGGCTGGTGCAAGCGATGTCCCCCGCGATGGACGACAGCTTCAGCACCCCTCACCGACTGCTGCAGGACGCCGTGGTCAACGCCCAGACGGTGAGCTCGGCCCGCGGCTGAATAACCGCCGGGAGAAGCGGAGCGGCTCGCAATTGGGAGGTTTGCGAGTTGCAAATCCTGGCTTGGGGAGAGGGGGGGGGGGGCTGTCGGCTGACTCAGGTCGATGAAAGTTACGACATCTGGTCGTGCGGTTGTTACAGCAGCATTGGTTTAACGCAAAGATCTTTTGGACAACGTTTTTGCAGGAGGGGTGATTCGTTTACTTTTCTTGTACTTTGTACTTCTATCGTGTTCTTATTTTGTTTGTTCTAACCCGCCCCGACTGGACATCTGTGAACAAGAGCTTAATTCCTCCAGTATAAATAAATATTCCGATTAACTATTCTTCTTCTGCTATGGATATCCCGATTGAGTCATTTGCAGTGTAATTTTTTTTAATTTGGCAAATTTGGACCGACGTTGGTAGCACACGATGACCCTCCTCTCACGGGATCTTTAGCGGCCGGCGCGTACTATTTTGCGGCTAATGCACCCGCCAGTAATGACCGGGGCAGGCGCCGGATTTCGAGCTGCGAGCGCGCTCTGGCTGGGCTGTTGCGACGTAAAGACAGCGCCGTGCTCCCACCGTGTGCAGAATTACAGTGCGGCACGCTGGGAGTTCTGCATGGAGAAGACGAACTGGGCCATGCCCTACGCCCTCGGCGACATCTTCTTCTTCGCGACGCGCAACGAGCAGACCACCGATGATGTACGTGAACGCAAAGCACAGGAACAGACGCGCGGACAAAACACCCGTAGCACGTAGCACTACGCAACCTCTATTCCGCTGTTATCCGACTGCCAGACTGTAAACTCACAATGACTACAGCCTCACTCTGACTGTAAACTCGCGATGACTACAGCCTCACTCTGACTGTTAACTCACGATGACTACAGCCCCACTCTGACTGTAAACTCACCATGACTACAGCCTCACTCTGACTGTAAACTCACCATGACTACAGCCTCACTCTGACTGCAAACTCACAATGACTACAGCCCCACTCTGACTGTAAACTCACGATGACTACAGCCTCACTATGACTGTAAACTCACCATGACTACAGCCTCACTCTGACTGTAAACTCACGATGACTACAGCCCCACTCTGACTGTAAACTCACCATGACTACAGCCTCACTCTGACTGTAAACTCACCATGACTACAGCCTCACTCTGACTGTAAACTCACCATGACTACAGCCTGACTCTGACTGTAAACTCGCGATGACTACAGCCTCACTCTGACTGTAAACTCACCATGACTACAGCCTCACTCTGACTGTAAACTCACCATGATTACAGCCTCACTCTGACTGTAAACTCACCATGACTACAGCCTCATTCTGACTGTAAACTCACCATGACTACAGCCTCACTCTGACTGTAAACTCACGATGACTACAGCCTCACTCTGACTGTAAACTCACCATGACTACAGCCTCACTCTGACTGTAAACTCGCGATGACTACAGCCTCACTCTGACTGTAAACTCGCGATGACTACAGCCTCACTCTGACTGTAAACTCACCATGACTACAGCCTCACTATGACTGTAAACTCACCATGACTACAGCCTGACTCTGACTGTAAACTCGCAATGACTACAGCCTCACTCTGACTGTAAACTCGCCATGACTACAGCCTCATTCTGACTGTAAACTCACCATAACTACAGCCTCACTCTGACTGTAAACTCACCATGACTACAGCCTCACTCTGATTGTAAACTCGCGATGACTACAGCCTCACTCTGACTGTAAACTCACCATGACTACAGCCTCACTCTGACTGTAAACTCACGATGACTACAGCCTCACTCTGACTGTAAACTCGTGATGACTACAGCCTCACTATGACTGTAAACTCGCGATGACTACAGCCTGACTCTGACTGTAAACTCGTGATGACTACAGCCTCACTATGACTGTAAACTCGTGATGACTACAGCCCCACTCTGACTGTAAACTCACGATGACTACAGTGAGGGAAATAAGTATTTGACCCCCTCTCAGTCAGAAAGATTTCTGGCTCCCAGGTGTCTTTTATACAGGTAACGAGCTGAGATTAGGAGCACACTCTTAAAGGGAGTGCCCCTAATCTCAGCTTGTTACCTGTATAAAAGACACCTGTCCACAGAAGCAATCAATCAATCAGATTCCAAACTCTCCACCATGGCCAAGACCAAAGAGCTCTCCAAGGATGTCAGGGACAAGATTGTAGACCTACACAAGGCTGGAATGGGCTACAAGACCATTGCCAAGCAGCTTGGTGGGAAGGTGACAACAGTTGGTGCGATTATTCGCAAATGGAAGAAACACAAAAGAACTGTCAATCTCCCTCGGCCTGGGGCTCCATACAAGATCTCACCTCGTGGAGTTGCAATGATCATGAGAACGGTGAGAAATCAGCCCAGAACTACACGGGAGGATCTTGTCAATAATCTCAAGGCAGCTGGGACCATAGTCACTAAGAAAACAATTGGTAACACACTACGCCGTGAAGGACTGAAATCCTGCAGCGCCCGCAAGGTCCCCTTACTCAAGAAAGCACATATACATGCCCGTCTGAAGTTTGCCAATGAACATCTGAATGATTCAGAGGACAATTGGGTGAAAGTGTTGTGGTCAAATGAGACCAAAATGGAGCTATTTGGCATCAACTCAACTCGCCGTGTTTGGAGGAGGAGGAATGCTGCCTATGACCGCAAGGAACACCATCCCCACCGTCAAACATGGAGGTGGAAACATGCCTTGGGGGTGTTTTTCTGCTAAGGGGACAGGACAACTTCACCGCACCAAAGGGACGATGGACGGGGCCATGTACCATCAAATCTTGGGTGAGAACCTCCTTCCCTCAGCCAGGGCATTGAAAATGGGTCGTGGATGGGTATTCCAGCATGACAATGGCCCAAAACACACGGCCAAGGCAACAAAGGAGTGGCTCAAGAAGAAGCACATTAAGGTCCTGGAGTGGCCTAGCCAGTCTCCAGACCTTAATCCCATAGAAAATTTGTGGAGGGAGCTGAAGGTTCGAGTTGCCAAACGTCAGCCTCGAAACCTTAATAACTTGGAGAAGATCTGCAAAGAGGAGTGGGACAAAATCCCTCCTGAGATGTGTGCAAACCTGGTGGCCAACTACAAGAAACGTCTGACCTCTGTGATTGCCAACAAGGGTTTTGCCACCAAGTACTAAGTCATGTTTTGCAGAGGGGTCAAATACTTATTTCCCTCATTAAAATGCCAATCAATTTATAAAATTTTTGACATGCGTTTTTCTGGATTTTTTTTGTTGTTAATCTGTCTCTCACTGTTCAAATAAACCTACCATTAAAATTATAGACTGATCATTTCTTTGTCAGTGGGCAAACGTACAAAATTAGCAGGGGATCAAATGCTTTTTTCGTTCACTGTACAGCCCCACTGACTGTAAACTCACCATAGCTACAGCGTTGGGGCGTGTGCTCAGCGATTTTGTTTTAAAGAAAGCGACCACTTCCCTGCGATGCTCAATAACCAATACCAATACCCTCCATTCGCCAATAAGTGACGGTGACATCACCACGGCGCCTGTGCCGGGCTAGGTTCACTTTCAGGCCACGTAAGTGTCGAAGGCTCGTTGACAGGCGGTCTCGGGACAGACCCAAGTGCCATGGGTTGGCTGACTGAGATGACCGGTAGATGCACACCAGCTGTGCCCCCTACTCTGCCAACTTGCTGCATTTCAGCCGCCCGGCGCTTCACTCGTTGTTGCGAGCGCCGCTCCTCTGCCCTCGTTGCTGTTGGAGTGTGACTGCCTCCAACTGCCCAGTAGCGTCCTTAACAAGTCTCCTCCATAGAGGCCGATCTTGACACCGCTGGTACCAGTCGTCGAAAAGTCCACTCGGCTCCACATCCTCCCATACCGCATCAGTTCTTCTTCAGCCCATGTCGTAGCCCCCTCTATGCGGCAAAAACAGAAGCTGCTTGGGCATGCGGTGGCTGGGTATGCGGGCTACCTGACCCAGCCAACGCAGCCTTGCCTGCCGTAGGAGCTCACCGATGGGAATGTGTCCAGACCTTTCAAGGATTTGTGAGCTCCTCACACTTTCCCTCCTGGTTAAATCCAGGATGGATCGCTCAATAACACCACCCCCTCGCTCGCTTCGTTGCCCGCTAACAGAACAGGACAGTGATTACACTCTATGCAGTGATATTAACATATTTATAATATATTGGAAAAGCTCTGTTATCCGGCATATATGGAGAATGGAGGGTGCCGGTTAATGAAACATGCCGGTTGCCTGAGAGTTTTACTTATGGTTCACCACATTTTTCCAAGGACATACAATTTACATGAAAGATGCTTAGCCTACATTTTAACTATGATATACTAAATAAAATACTCGTTTACAGAGGTACTCACCGGTCAGTTGTAGAGCATTTTTGTCATACAGTACCATATCTGCAGACTGCCGCGAGAGCCGCCACTCAGCAGTGTCCTGACGCTCCCGTAAACAGCAGATCTTTGATAAGCGCACGGCAAGATGCAAGGATGGCTTTCGGAATTTTTCTGGATAAATGAAGGAAGATTGGTATGACAGATGGCGATTAATAGAGCATTGCCTATGGTAAAGTGGTGGATAACAGAGCTTTTCCTGTACACACAATGACAGACAAAATTGAGAAAGTATTCAATCTAAAATGCTTGCATGGGTGATGCTAAAGCAAAATACCAGACCTGAAATTGATCGTGGATTCAAATCCCATTTGTAAGGTCTAAGAATAGTAATTATTTATTTACCCAGGTAAACCATACGGATCCAAACACTAATTTTTAGATATTGTCCTGCTTTGCGATGTTTGTCCAACACCAATGGCATTGTGTTTGTTGTTCGCTGTGGGAGGAAACGGGAGAACCCGGAGGAAACCAATGTAGAACAGACGAAGAACATACAAACTCCACACAGAAAGGCCCCGAGTTGAAATCGAACCCAGGTCCTTTTGCTATGAGGTGCAAGTGTTTATTTGTGTTACCCTGTCGCCCTCAATGGATTTGGCCTGCAGTACCTTTGTAAATGGTAGAATCATGGCCACCTCACGAAAAATCATTGAGATGGCGGTCCACAGTGAGGCCACGTGGCATTTCCACCTTCAAATGACTGTAATGGTTTAAATTTCACACGGATGCAAATTAATTTAACGATATTTATTTACATTTGCACTGTGACTCCTTAGGTGAAAGAAGTCATCAACAATGTTCGCGTCTCGTTCCAAAACACTCTGACGACGCTGACCTGGATGGACAACAAGACGCGAGACGATGCCCGGGACAAGGTCAGTGGCGGCAAGGGCACGGCCGCCCCCCCCCCTGCCCCCCCCCTCGCCCCCACCCTAGCCCCCACCGCCGCAGGGGGCACCATCGTCGTCCTCCCGTCGTCGTTCACCTTCATGCGCCGTGTCACCGTCGCTCCGTCTCCGGGGCGGCCGAGTTGCTTGCAAGTAGCGGTCCGGTAACGGCGACGTTGTGGCCACGCGTCGCCACGGCGGCTGCTGCAGCCGTGGGCGTGTATCGGTCACAGCGCTTCGAGCGGAAGGGGCGCTGTAGCTTCAGCCGCCGAGTGCACGGGTCGGATCTCGGTGGGGTTGGCGGCCGTCGAGAGTCGTGGCCCGCCCCAAACCCCAACGAGGTTGAATTCGTCGCTCATTTCCACAGACGACCACAGAGCACTCCGATTTTGATATCGGTTGCATTACAATTATTCTGCGGAAATTCCACTGGCCAAGGGTTTGTTACATATATGATGTTGTCTCAGAATCCAGCCGCAATCAGCTGACTGGAATTGACATTGTCTTTGAACCGGATCCAGTTGACACTGTAGACACTGTAGACACTGTATACACTAGAGACACTGTAGACACTGTACACTGTAGACACTGTACACTGTGTACACTGTAGACACTGTAGGTAACAGGGATACAAACATGGAGAACGCCGCTCCCTGTCGGGCCGTGGTCGCCCTCGGCGTGTGAACGACTTCCCCTGCTGTTTGTGGGAACTCTCAGCGGGCACGGAGGACAAGGCCAAGTTCACTTTGTTTAGCCAGGTGGGAGCTCAGGAGACCAGGATGAGTCTCCAGAGGGACCTGGGTCACCAAAATGAAGAAAGCGATAACTTAGAGACGAGGACGACAATTCCTAAACCTTCCACAGTCAACTCAGAGCGGCAATGACGGGCCAACCCCCCTCCCCTCTCCCCCCTGCCCCTCTTCACCCCTCCTCCTCCCCGCCCCCTCCCCCCTTCCCCCGAAGAAAATCCCTCGACCCCCCCCCCTCTAATGAGTCCGGTGTGGGACTGATGCCTGATACCGTCGATGCCCCTGGAACTGCCGCCCGGAACGTCGCATTGTTGTAGATCTACACCCGTCAATGTGCGATGGGAGGGAGGATGTGGAATTCAAATATTTTATATATATATACAGTAAAAAAAAACGAGCACGACAATGAACGAAATAGAAATCGGAGCAAAAAACACCAAATATTAATGGCTATAAACGCCGCTGCGCTACTGGTGAGTATCAATCAATGTCCCACCTGAACATTCACCTCATCTCCCGCATTCCCGTAACTTGGAGCTCTGGGGGGTTGAGGCGCGCGAGTTGAATAGGCGTTGGCGAGTAGCGGAGTCGTGTGATTGGAGCGCCAGTGTGCTGAGCGACGTGACAGCATGCGTTGTTTGCCTTTGCTTAGGCGAGCGAGATGAAGCCCTTGGTTGGAGCTGAGAATAAATTTAGTGACCCAGGCTGGATCAACAGCTTTTACGCTCAGGTAAGCTGCATCGTTCGCTACAAACACATTGCAATCAATATTGGTGAAGCAACAACTATCTTGCTGATGTAACCCCTTACAGTGAGGGAAAAAAGTATTTGATCCCCTGCTGATTTTGTACGTTTGCCCACTGACAAAGAAATGATCAGTCTATAATTTTAATGGTAGGTTTATTTGAACAGTGAGAGACAATAACAAAAAAATCCAGAAGAACGCATGTCAAAAATGTTATAAATTGATTTGCATTTTAATGAGGGAAATAAGTATTTGACCCCCTCTCAATCAGAAAGATTTCTGGCTCCCAGGTGTCTTTTATACAAGTAACGAACTGAGATTAGGAGCACACTTTGACACCTGTCCACAGAAGCAATCAATCAATCAGATTCCAAACTCTCCACCATGGCCAAGACCAAAGAGCCCTCCAAGGATGTCAGGGACAAGATTGTAGACCTACACAAGGCTGGAATGGGCTACAAGACCATTGCCAAGCAGCTTGGTGAGACGGTGACAACAGTCGGTGCGATTATTCGCAATTGGAAGAAACACTCTAATGTTTAGGAGGCCAGGGTGGCAACGCAGTGGGAACAACGCGTGCCTCACAGCAAGAAGACCCTGGGTTCAATTCCCGACTCGGGCGCCTTAATGGGTACCGTTTCTACGATCTCGCCCTGTTCTGCGTGGATAACTTCCGGGTTATCTGGTCTCCTCTCATCGCTAAAGAAAAATAAAACATACAATGTAACTGGCATTAGCCAAACATCCCAATGTTGAAAAGTGGTACTGCAAACGACTCGGTTGGGATCACACACACAGCAGCAACATCGACCGCTCCTGCAAAAACTTGGCAGGACCCTCCTCAAAAAGAGTCTTGAGACTCGGCGAGGCTTTCTTGGGTAAACACGTGGAGTAAATAACAATAATATACAATATCTGCTGTCGCCCCGAGAGGTTTCAAATATACCATACACTACGTTCATGACTGAGTGCATTTGTGAAACACTGCATACATTTCCAGTTAGTCGCATTGCAGCAAGTAGTACCATGGGTATCTGGGTCTGCTGGGAAATGACAGGTGACTTTGCTGTGTGTGTGTGTGGTTTGTAGATCACACCGGATGAGAGCTCTTTCTTTGACACGATGGTGAACTACTACAAGTACCTGGCCAAGAGATCACTGGAGCAGCTGTCTTTAGGCTTGAACACCAAGTGTGTTTATTTACGTTTCGTCTGTTTGAAAACCAGCATGAACGTTGTAACTTTGTCTTCCTTGGTAATCGATAAAATAAATACGCAGCCAATAATCCTGCTTCCCACGCCAATTGAGCTATCTTTAAATCCTGACTTAAATTTTCCGTGACTGCGGGAATTCATATTCTTTGCGTCTTTCGGTAAAGTCACGAACATAGGTTGAACTGCGACGTTTCGATCGCAACACAAGCGATCGTCATCAGGAGGAAAAAATGATGACGACCGCTTGCGTTGTGATCGAAACGTCGTAGTTTTTTTTAATTTTCTTTCAACCTATCTACGTGACTTTACCGAAAGACCCAAAGAATATGAGCCACCTTTGTTCTTGTTCATGTTTGCGAACAATCGTCTCACGACATGCACATGCTGCAAGTCCGTTCCATTCATCAAGAGCGCTCGTGACATCACGGAAAGGATCGAGCGATTCCAAGACCGTCACGGTACAGGGTGGCCATGGTGGCTAGGAGATGTTGACTACCTCGCCTGGTGTGCAGGAGGTTGTCGGTTCGATCGCGACCCTGATGCCTGTAATATTGGAGTTTGAATGTCTCTCTCCCCGTGGTCGCGTGGAGTATTTGTCTGCCATAAATTTCCACGTGATGATAAGCCACTTAATTTGTGACCAGGTCACTTCTGAAAAAGGACTACGTAGCTCAGTGGGGTCTTAACTAGTAAAATATTTTTTTTTTATTTCAGTTTCAGTGCGGCCAGTTGAGGGCGTTACAGTTGAGGTCTCCCTGAAAGACAAAGGTCCCCCCGTGGAGCCTTAGCAGACTCTTGGGGGTGAGTGTTGCTAGCGAGTAGTACCTATGTAGAGCCCGTGACGGCGCACAAGAGGGTGGGTGTCATGCACCGCATCTAACTGCCTTTGTCTCCCCAATGCTGATGTTTACACGCCGCACCAGGTACCCATTTAAGGCTGAGTCAACCTCGGGGAGGCCCAGGACCGGTTCAGTTATCGGTCACCGATGTTGTTTGTGAGCAGGAATTGAAGTTGGGGGTGCGTGGGGGGGGGGCAGAGAAGGAGGGGGCGCGCGAGGAGGGGTAGCGGGGCATCTGGAGTATCCTCAGCAGGGCGCGGGCTGTACAGCAAATGCCGCTGGGTCACCTGGTGATGCAGACAAGTACAGGATCCATTCAGTGCAGGACAACTCGCTTACGCAATTATTATTATTTGCAATCTTTTAGTTGCAATAGAGTAAACACACTGGTGTGTGTGTTTCACCGAAAATTCGGTAAGATGAGCATCAACACATTGCTCATTTGCACAGCAAGTTGGCTTGACTCGACTTGCCCCGGGCTCGTGAATGAAAGCAGTAGCGTGTATTGTCATCGCTGGACAGCACGGTCCTCAGTGTTCCGCACTCCGTGGCCCCTTTCTCATCTCGACACGGTGTTTTTGTGTCTCTGCAGCTGCAACCTCTTACCACCGCAGGAGGTGGACAGTCGTTACCTCTACACAGACAACCGGAATAAGCTGTTCGTCCCCATGGGGATTCTACAGCCACCGTTCTACTACCTCCAGCAGAAGAGGTGTCTCCCTCTCTGTGTCCTCTCTCTCTGTGTCCTCTCTCTCTGTGTCCCCTCTCTCTGTGTCCTCTCTCTCTGTGTCCCCTCTCTCTCTGTGTCCTCTCTCTCTCTCTCTCTGTGTCCCCTCTCTCTCTGTGTCCTCTCTCTCTGTGTCCTCTCTCTCTGTGTCCTCTCTCTCTGTGTCCTCTCTCTCTGTGTCCTCTCTCTCTCTCTCTGTGTCCCCTCTCTCTGTGTCCCCTCTCTCTCTGTGTCCTCTCTCTCTGTGTCCTCTCTCTCTGTGTCCTCTCTCTCTGTGTCCTCTCTCTCTGTGTCCTCTCTCTCTCTCTCTGTGTCCCCTCTCTCTGTGTCCCCTCTCTCTGTGTCCTCTCTCTCTCTCTGTGTCCTCTCTCTCTGTGTCCCCTCTCTCTCTCTCTGTGTCCTCTCTCTCTTTGTCCTCTCTCTCTCTCTCTGTGTCCTCTCTCTGTGTCCTCTCTCTCTGTGTCCTCTCTCTCTGTGTCCTCTCTCTCTGTGTCCCCTCTCTCTCTGTGTCCCCTCTCTCTGTGTCCCCTCTCTCTCTGTGTCCTCTCTCTCTCTCTGTGTCCTCTCTCTGTGTCCTCTCTCTCTGTGTCCTCTCTCTCTGTGTCCTCTCTCTCTGTGTCCCCTCTCTCTGTGTCCTCTCTCTCTGTGTCCTCTCTCTCTGTGTCCCCTCTCTCTGTGTCCTCTCTCTCTGTGTCCTGTCTCTCTGTGTCTCTCTGTGTCCCCTCTCTCTGTGTCCCCTCTCTCTGTGTCCTCTCTCTCTGTGTCCTCTCTCTCTGTGTCCCCTCTCTCTGTGTCATCTCTCTCTGTGTCCTCTCTCTGTGTCCCCTCTCTCTGTGTCCTCTCTCTCTGTGTCCTCTCTCTCTGTGTCCTCTCTCTGTGTCCTCTCTCTCTGTGTCTCCCTCTCTGTGTCCCCTCTCTCTGTGTCCTCTCTCTCTGTGTCCTCTCTCTCTGTGTCCTCTCTTTCTCTCTGTGTCCCCTCTCTCTGTGTCCCCTCTCTCTGTGTCCTCTCTCTCTCTGTGTCCTCTCTCTCTGTGTCCTCTCTCTCTCTGTGTCCTCTCTCTCTGTGTCCTCTCTCTCTCTCTCTGTGTCCTCTCTCTGTGTCCTCTCTCTCTGTGTCCTCTCTCTCTGTGTCCCCTCTCTCTGTGTCCCCTCTCTCTCTGTGTCCTCTCTCTCTGTGTCCCCTCTCTCTCTGTGTCCCCTCTCTCTCTCTCTGTGTCCTCTCTCTCTGTGTCCTCTCTCTCTGTGTCCTGTCTCTCTGTGTCTCTCTGTGTCCCCTCTCTCTGTGTCATCTCTCTCTGTGTCCTCTCTCTCTGTGTCCCCTCTCTCTGTGTCCTCTCTCTCTGTGTCCTCTCTCTCTGTGTCCTCTCTCTGTGTCCTCTCTCTCTGTGTCTCCCTCTCTGTGTCCTCTCTCTGTGTCCCCTCTCTCTGTGTCCTCTCTCTCTGTGTCCTCTCTCTCTGTGTCCTCTCTCTGTGTCCTCTCTCTCTGTGTCTCCCTCTCTGTGTCCCCTCTCTCTGTGTCCTCTCTCTCTGTGTCCTCTCTCTCTGTGTCCTCTCTTTCTCTCTGTGTCCCCTCTCTCTGTGTCCCCTCTCTCTGTGTCCTCTCTCTCTCTGTGTCCTCTCTCTCTGTGTCCTCTCTCTCTCTCTCTGTGTCCTCTCTCTCTGTGTCCTCTCTCTCTCTGTGTCCTCTCTCTCTGTGTCCCCTCTCTCTGTGTCCCCTCTCTCTCTGTGTCCTCTCTCTCTCTCTGTGTCCCCTCTCTCTCTGTGTCCCCTCTCTCTCTCTCTGTGTCCTCTCTCTCTGTGTCCTCTCTCTCTCTGTCCTCTCTCTCTCTGTGTCCTCTCTCTGTGTCCTCTCTCTCTGTGTCCTCTCTCTCTGTGTCCTCTCTCTCTGTGTCCTCTCTCTCTGTGTCCCCTCTCTCTGTGTCCTCTCTCTCTGTGTCCTCTCTCTCTGTGTCCCCTCTCTCTGTGTCCTCTCTCTCTGTGTCCTCTCTCTCTGTGTCCCCTCTCTCTGTGTCCTCTCTCTCTGTGTCCTGTCTCTCTGTGTCTCTCTGTGTCCCCTCTCTCTGTGTCATCTCTCTCTGTGTCCTCTCTCTCTGTGTCCCCTCTCTCTGTGTCCTCTCTCTCTGTGTCCTCTCTCTCTGTGTCCTCTCTCTCTGTGTCTCTCTGTGTCCCCTCTCTCTGTGTCCCCTCTCTCTGTGTCCTCTCTGTGTCCTCTCTGTGTCCTCTCTGTGTCCCCTCTCTCTGTGTCCCCTCTCTCTGTGTCCTCTCTCTCTGTGTCCCCTCTCTCTGTGTCTCCTCTCTCTGTGTCCCCTCTCTCTGTGTCCTCTCTCTGTGTCTCTCTGTGTCCTCTCTCTCTGTGTCATCTCTCTCTGTGTCCTCTCTCTCTGTGTCCCCTCTCTCTGTGTCCTCTCTCTCTGTGTCCCCTCTCTCTGTGTCCTCTCTCTCTGTGTCCCCTCTCTCTGTGTTCTCTCTCTGTGTCCTCTCTCTCTGTGTCCCCTCTCTCTGTGTCCCCTCTCTCTCTGTGTCCTCTCTCTGTGTCCTCTCTCTCTGTGTCCCCTCTCTCTGTGTCCCCTCTCTCTATGTCCTCTCTCTCTGTCTCTCTCTCTGTGTCCTCTCTCTCTGTGTCTCTCTGTGTCCTCTCTCTCTGTGTCCTCTCTCTCTCTGTGTCCCCTCTCTCTAAGTCTGAGGCAGCATGCGTTAAGCACAAGCATTCTTGAGTGTCAGTGGAAGTCTACTCCGAGATTATTCATCACGTGTATTGTGCACGTATTGTTGTACGTGGATCCTCTCTCCAGATATCTGCAGTATGGAGCCATTGGGTCCGTCATTGCCAGAGAGTTTCTGCATGGGTTCTATGGTGAAGGTAACAATGACACACCGTACGTCAATCATATTTACACCGACATGCCGTGTCCAGCTTTGGAAATTGTGTCTCTGCTCCGATAAGCCATAGCGATTCGGGTGGTTTGATGGCTCACAGTAGACGTTTAGAGCAAAGATCCTAGGTCCAGTTGCCTTTGTGTTAAGTTTATCTGTCCTCCCATCCTGCATGGGTTTCTTGAGGGTTCTCCGGTTACCTCGCATAGCTAAAATCACGCACAGCGTAACTGGTATTGGCCAAAACAGACCAATGCTGAAAAATGACCTGCAAATTGCTCAATTGGGATCACACAGCAGTAGCAGCAAGATCGTTCCCTACTGCTAAATCTTGGCAGGACCCTCCTGGGTACACAGGTGAAATCAAAATAAGATCACGGTCATTTCCCGCTTTGGCCCAGGAAGGGGTTGTGCCGGTAGAGTCGTGACGTGAGTGCCGGTGTGCCCCCCAGGGAGCCAGTATGACGCGAGCGGCGTCCACAAGCTGTGGTGGAGTAACGCGACGTGGAAGAAGTTTGAGGAGCGGGCGCGCTGCCTGGAGCATCAGTACGGGAACTACTCGAGCGGCGGGCTCAACGTGAACGGCACGCGCACGCTGGTGGAGAACGTCGCCGACAACGGAGGCCTCGACACCGCCCTGCATGTGAGAGCACCACCCCGTGCCAACGCGTTCACAGACGCACGGCGCCTGGAGCGGGCCGGTGGGGCTGAGCGCTGTTAGCAAAGAGCGTCTACGAAGGACGGCGTGGTGGGTGGCCAGCACCACGCCTGGCCGCCTTTGTTTCCGGAGTGGCGATGTTTACACACCGGACCAGGTACTCATATATGAGGCTGAATCGACCTTTGGGTAGGCCCAGGACCTGTTCAAATAATCGTCACTGGTGTTGGCCGTGAGCGGAAATCGAACTCTGTTCGCTGGGTTCGTAGCGCGGCACGCTAACTAACCGCTACGCTACCACTTCCCACATTGCATTGACACACACACAGACACACAGTGACGCAAAGACGGAGATGCCCACGAACCCCAATCAACATCGCACCCCCGACCAACCCCGCTAATGGCACTTGCTCATTATACTGGCGCGCAAGTTGCTCCAGCACATTGCCACGGTGGCGAGATGGATGTTGACTACCTCACCTAGCATACAGGAGGTCCCCGACGCCTGTACATTTGAAGTTTGTATGTTCTCCCAGTGGCGGCATGGATTTTTCTAAGGGTCCTCCGGTTTTTCTCTCCACATTTATGAACCAACGTGCATTTAAAGTATTTTTCTTCTATGTTCACGTAATGATGATGATAGCCACTTCGTTGAGCTATCATTTCTGACCAGGTCACTTCTGGAAAAAAGCTGTGATGATGATAGCCACTTCGTTGAGCTATCATTTCGGACCAGGTCACTTCTGGAAAAAAGCTGTATAGTTGAGTGGGCCTTACCTGGTAAAATAAAAAACTTTGTTTAGTTTTTAGTTTATTTTGAAATAAAAACTGCGGTGGCCGTCCTCTTGGGCGCGCTCCCTCCTTGGGCTTCCACTCCGTCGTTCGTCTCGACCACCGGCCGCCATCCCTCCTTGCCGCGACACGTCCCGCCCAAGCCCCGCTCACTGTTCTTATTAAATATTTTAAACATCCCTTGATGCCCACGACCACAGCAATAAAATATCAAACCGCTCTTGGAAAGTAGCTGTTAACGTTTGTAAGGAGGGCACCTCTGTGCCAGTTACTGCCTGGAGAAAGTTTTGGGCAAAAACCAAAAACCATTGCTGGTTACAAACTGAAAATAGTGGCAGCTGCAGCTGTGGCAGGGAGGTCATCAGAACGCCTCGACACAATACCGCGCGATGCAACAGTGGCAAGAGCTGCAACACATACTTACAAGGGTTGTAAAATAAGTCTCTTAGAATTATTTGGGCTTATAAATGGTCATTAAGCTCAAAATAAGTTAAATGTGGAGGCTGCTGCACATGACTGTAGTGTTACAGCTGTGTCGAAGCGAGGTAGTCGCATGATGGCAATTCCCAAGGTCACTTGAGACTCGGGGTCATTCCCAGCATCCTGCTTCGCAAGGGCCGACGCAGTTGTGGTGCCGGGAGTGATGATAAAAAGTGTCCTGAGACTCAGTGAGGCTTTCTTAGGTAAACGAGAGGAATAATGATAACAATAATATATCGGAACATTTTCAAACTGTTCACAAGTGGCTAATGAGTTGTGTGTGCGGTGCTGTGTAAGGCCTATGAGGACTGGATCACCAAGAACAGAGAGGAGCCACAGCTGCCCTTCCTCGGCCTGAATGCTCGACAGACGTTTTTCGTCAGCTTCGCACAGGTAGGCCCACTCCCTGCACCCAGCGCTCTGCTCCGTGCCGTGTCACCGCCGCTCGGCACGGCCCCTCGCACCTCCCGCTTAAGGATAAACAACCGTGCACGTACGAGAAGCACGGAGGTGCGCACATAAACTCGCACGTAGGTACGCTACGTACGGAGCACTCGTGTTCCCTGTTGCTCTCAGCACTGTCACACGACTAATGTAAAACCTGTGCATGTTAGCTTTTTCTGAACAGCTAAATTAGTCGTTCGTGTTGCCACTGGGTTTGTTTTGCTTACAGCAAAAAGTAGCCTTCTCATGCAATTTTAAATAAATCATTGCTTATATGTTGTTAAATTAAATATATATAACGTTTTATGAAACCTGCTCCAGGAAAGCAGTAGCAACACGGCTGTGAGTGAGCTACTCGGGGCTCCCAAAGTGGAACATGTGACGAGAGTTGGTGGTCGGGTAACCATCTTCTAGGATTGTCAACCAAACCCAGGCATGCTCGTCAATCAACCTAGGCCTACCATTCCTCTGCGGTATCCTAAATACAGGAATTCTACGCTATATGTAAAGGATGTGTTCCTGGGAAATGCTACTTAACTCGAAATTACTTAAAGCGAATTCTAATTTCCCATAGACATAATGTTAAAATCAGAGGTTGCGTTCCTGGCCAACATTTCTGGAATAAAATATGCGTGACTAAATGTCATGGAGTGTACGAAAATACATATTAATACAAATTTTAACTCAATGAATACAATTATTTAGATAAAACTTATCAGAGATGGTTTAAGACCTTTGCTGATCGAGTCCTCTTGGGGTGAGCAGTGGCGGAGTTACGCAGACGAAGGGGCAGGATCTCCTGCCTCTTCATCGCTCAATGACGCTGGAGCCACAGGAATGTTCACGAGAGAAAGCGTTCTGGCCTGATTGCAGAACAGAAAGAAATCGGTTCCAAGGCAGCTGGACAGTATTTTTCATCTTCTGCTAGTACAGCTTCTTTTAGCAGTGAATGCCAGTGAACATTCGTGGTGGGACCCCAGCAACTCCACCATGTGGTCCGACATAGTGGAGTCCAGCTTGCGTGTACAGTACAGTATTACATTGCAAAGTAGTCCGTTTTCACAGCGTGCGTTCCTCGCTTAAAAATTGCTCAATGTGTTGTGCATTTTTTTTAAAGAACGCATATGCGAAACATTAAACTTACGAGGAATATGTTCCCTAATTCATCAGCAATGTATATAAGCGAACTAATCGCAGGGAATTCCTGTAAATGCTCAAAACAAGTCCAATAGCAGATCTTGGTAAATCTCTGTTCCTGCCACCTGAATACCGATGCGAATTCCAAGACGGGTGGCTTCCCCAGTGGGTAGCGTTGGTTTCTCTGTCCTCATGTCCATCTGGCCCACCCTGCTTGTGTCCCCATCCCAGTCCCTGTGCTCCGCGGAGACGCCGGAGCACCTGCGGGAGACGCTGGCGACAGCCCCCACCAGCCCGTCTCGCTTCCGTGTGCTGGGAGCCCTCTCCAACTCGCCCGAGTTCGCCAAGGCCTTCACCTGCCCCCAGGGCTCCGCCATGAACACGGGGAAGAAGTGCCGCGTGTGGTGAAGGCGCCCGTGGGAACGGACAGCAGCGGCTGCGGGAGCGCCGTGCCGTTCCGACACGGCATGTCTGCTTCGAGTCGCCTTGCTGTTGCCACTCGGTCCAACGAGCCCAGACCAGATATATTACTTGTCGGTACCACCTGAAGCAGCAGAGCTTCCGTGGGTTCCAATTTGTGTGCCCAATGACTGAAGTGATAACAATTCGTAATGAGTGGGTTATCAAATAATTCACTCGTATTGGCAATATAAAAGCGTTGGCATGTTACCTTGGGTGGTACAAATTTTTTGTTCTGGTCCGTGGATTAACACTGAACCCATTTCGATTGGTTATAATTAACCGTCTTTGTGGGGTATTGCACATATCAAGAGATTCAACACAGACGGCCAATCGTGCCAATACAATTGGCTTAAGCGTGTTACTTCGAACCTAATTAGGAAATGCTCTTTTATGCGAGCAGTCATTTTTATACTGATTCTTGTGTTGAAAACAAAACACATTCGATAACTTTTAAAGAAATGCAATAGGGGCACTGATTGTTCCCTCGGTTGGATGACGTCTTCGAGCGCCGTTGACCCCTAACCCCGTTGAACTGGCACGGCTTCCCCGCTCCCCGACCACAGCAGTGTGCCTTCCGCGCCAGCACTCTGTTCGCAGCTACAGCTCTTGGACATGATGCGTCGTAGAGGCTTCGCTGTCGTTTTCCCCGAGAGCATTTTATCCGATTTTTTTGGAAGTTAATATGTAGATGCACATCAACGTTTTTGTTATGTTAACGTAGCTGTAGTCAAGTTTTAATGCTCTTTAATATAAGGTGTAAAATTTACGATAATTTGCTAAATATTTAGTGAGTTGATTACACGCAAACTGTGTTCTCAAACTGTGCTTTAAACGTCGATGCTGTCACAGATTCGATTGGCTGGTACACACATCACCCCCACGAGTCATAGGGCATCGATTTTGTTTGGGACAGGAGGAGGGTTTTTGGCAAACAGGAGGGAAGTGGAGCATTGCGTAGGCTTCCCACGGTCGGTCATTGGACCCCAGATATTCGGTCGTGGGTCGACGCTGCCCCAAGGATTGCCTGAGGACCAAGGGGACCAATGGTTGGAGGCAGCGCGCGCACATTGGCCTTACTTGGTGGTGGTGTAGTCGTAGTTGTTGCTGCATGTGAACGGTACGTTTCATCAGTTTTATTTAGTTTTTATTTGTTATCTTTGTCATTGCTGGATAATCGTTTAGTCGCCTGTGTTTCACTCGTTTGCTTTGGTTTGTTGTGTTAAGAAATGTTTCAAAACCAGCACCTTAAGTGAGCAGCCCCGCGCCCAATTACTCCCAACAACATCCTCGCCATGGACAGCAACCCCAACGATAACCACATACTGGTTATCCGCACCGTCACCATTGGAGTCATCGCCATTAAAATGCTGTAGGGTTTATCGAATGAGTTCTGAATTGTCAAGTAACCTGCGTAAGACCGTAAGCCCTTGTCGTGATCGCTGGCCGAGCCGGGAGCTCGCCGTCACGTGATCAATGTGGCGCGCTGCTCATTAAACAGCAAAGCTCGAGTGCGATCGCTCTTAAAGGGTGGAAACGACTTTGAGAGCGCGAGCACGGGGAAGGCTCGGTAGGGAGAGCGAGCTGGAGGGGGTACGGAGGAAATGAAGGGACGACCCCACTATCGACAGACCCCCCAGGGCTGCTGCTAGACGGGTGCATCAAGTTTACCCGCTAATTGTACGAATGTGAACATTCCCTGGGGCCCGTTCACATGTCCACTGCTCACGACTTGTGGCTGAGCTTGGCCTTGCCACCATCGTCCAGGGATGATGCATCGTGGACGGGCTGGATGGGGAATGCATTCCGGGCAGTGTTGCATCTGCAGAGCGAAGTTTGTCGGTCCCTCTGAGGGTTTTCTTGTGGTCTGCCATTTAGAGAAGCACACTTACTGCACACGGTATCTGATTCCTGACAAGAGAGCGGATTTTGGATGGTGATATGTGGCCCTTTGGGTTTACATTAAATGTAGAGTTGCTAGACGATGCAGCGGTAAAGTTAAAGATTATATTCTGAGTAAAGCATGTTTTGTGAAATGTCCCATTTTTGTTGAAAACCTGCACTTTGAATATGTTTTCAGATGTTAGACTTGCTCAGCTGCAACGTTGTGTAGCTTTTAATGCCACTTGTGTATCGTGTTTTTGCGCTCCCTGTCATCAACATGCAAAGAATCATGCCACTACTGGAGAGTGTGCAGACATTGAACTGAACTTTGACAAGTCTCACACTGCTATTCTCGATGACAGAGCTTCTTGCACTATGTGGAAACCATAGTCTGCTGTACCTCTGCTCACGGTAGCTTGTCGCCTGCTGCTCATGTACTGTACGTTGCAGTTCTTTCGCGCCGTACGTAGCCAACTGTGCTAATTGGAGATGTGGAGGAAAGACAACAAAATGATTTTGATCAAATCAACACGCAATGTCAGTCTAATTTCAAACGTAGGAAATGAAAATTGACACGTGCTCGGCAATCACCGCCGCCTCCTGGGAAACGAATGCTACGCGCCGAGTCACGCCGTGCCGCACAGGGACAGCTGCCCACGGGGAGATTTGCACTCTGAGACGCGTCGTTACACGAGAGAGATGCGAATGCTCGTTCGTTCGTTCATTCGTCATAATGTAGTGACGACCACTAAAGTGTCTCGCGCAAATGTCTCTTGACGTTCTACGGCGTGATCCTGAGAGACTTGGAGACGCCCTGAACCCTCCCAATGGGAATGCACGCCGCGTTGTCCCTGGCCAAGTTGGGGCAACGCTGGTAAATCCACGTTTCCGTGGTGGGCGCGAGTCTTCACTGTTGACATCACACTAGGTGGGGGGGGGGGGGGGTACTGTTTTATTCTTAATAAAGGAGTGATGGGCTAAGTTAACCCCCAAACAAGATTTTAACTTGCGTTCATCCCTTTCCTTGCCAAATACTCTAACCACTGACCCACTCAGCCAGATAATATACAAGACACTTAAACAGAACAAAACTATGTTCAGTCGCACGGTGAAATGAGTAAATACGCAGACCAGACGCCTTCACTTATGTCCTTCCACATAAAAAAAAAATGTTTACATGTCCATCAGCCACAAAGGCTTCTGGGAGCACATAGCGGCATTGGTTCAGCACGAGCAAAAGTCTTTACTGGCTTCAACATTCAGTGTCTCATCAGGCTTGGATGAATTAATGCTGGGGAACAGCCAGATTTTAGGCAAGGACCCTATGTTAGATACGGATCCTCGTTTCGGCACGCAACTCTAGTCAGGGAAAAAAGTATTTGATCCCCTGCCGATTTTGTACGTTTGCCCACTGACAAAGAAATGATCAGTCTATAATTTTAATGGTAGGTTTATTTGAACAGTGAGAGACAGAATAACAACAACAAATTCCAGAAAAACGCATGTCAAAAATGTTATAAATTGATTTGCATTTTAATGAGGGAAATAAGTATTTGACCCCTCTGCAAAACATGACTTAGTACTTGGTGGCAAAACCCTTGTTGGCAATCACAGAGGTCAGACGTTTCTTGTAGTTGGCCACCAGGTTTGCACACATCTCAGGAGGGATTTTGTCTCACTCCTCTTTGCAGATCTTCTCCAAGTCATTAAGGTTTCAAGGCTGACGTTTGGCAAATCGAACCTTCAGCTCCCTCCACAGATTTTCTATTGGATTAAGTACTTGGTGGCAAAACTGTTGTCACCTTCTCACCAAGCTGCTTGGCAATGGTCTTGTAGCCCATTCCAGCCTTGTGTAGGTCGACATTCTTGTCCCTGACATCCTTGGAGAGCTGTTTGGTCTTGGCCATGGTGGAGAGTTTGGAATCTGATTGATTGATTGCTTCTGTGGACAGGTGTCTTTTATACAGGTAACAAGCTGAGATTAGGATCACTCCCTTTAAGAATGTGCTCCTAATCTCAGCACGTTACCTGTATAAAAGACACTTGGGAGCCAGAAATCTATCTGATTGAGACGGGGTCAAATACTTATTTCCCTCATTAAAATGCAAATCAATTTATAACATTTTTGACATGCGTTTTTCTGGATTTTTTTGTTGTTATTCTCTCTCACTGTTCAAATATACCTACCATTAAAATTATAGACTGATAATTTCTTTGTCAGTGGGCAAACGTACAAAATCAGCAGGGGATCAAATACTGTTTTCCCTCACTGTATACTGCATAGAATTAAACAGAAATAACTCGTGAGGGTTGATATTAGAAAGGCAAGTTAAAACATTGGGTGGCCCGTAAACATGAGTTTTGTTGGGATTAGGATTCTGGAATCCCAACCATGAACCAAACCCGTCGTCTACTTATGTGAGTCAAGTTGATGCGTCCGCTGTAGCGCCGCTTGGCTCGACACGCTGCGTGGAGCTCTCGCTGCCATGTGCCGTGCTAATTTTGATTCAAGTTCATTGGCTCATCCTACCCACAAACCCCGCAGTCACCCGTGTTCACGTTCAGTGTGACTATAGGCTTCTTCAGCTGTTGGCAGCGTCGTTTTTCGAATCAAGGGGTATTTGCTACTTTCACGTTTTGCACAAATCGAGTCGATTTTCCTGAAGAGTTGATTGATGGATCGTTGATTTCATAGTTTCGTGAGACTAATTGTTTCGTATCCCAACGTTAACCCTGAAATGTGTGTGTAATAAAATTGTTACCCCAAATATAAAATCACGCAACTTTCAACATAAGAAACTATTAATGTCGCTGCCATCACATTCAATGCTGCTGGAAATGCAGCGTTGCATTGTACTTGCCACTGTTGAGTGAGATTCTGTTTGAGAAAAACTGGCGTGACGAACGTTCCAGATGTTAAGTAAACATTTGTTGGGATGATACTACGTAGATAAGACGAACATTTTATATTCAGTTTAGTTTTATGGGGGTGTCTGGATACTGCTGAGAGATTCGCAATATAATCCTTGTTAACTCGGAGTAATTTTTATCTGCAATAAAATTGATCTGCAAATACCTGAGCCTTATTCATTGTTGCTCATTGAAGGCAGCGGAGCGGTGCAGCGGTAGCGCCCACACCAAGAAGTCCTGAGTTCGATTCCCAACTCGGGTGCTTTTCTGCGTTGAGTTTGTATATTCTCCCTCTGTTCTGCATGGGCTTCCTCAGGGTTCTGCAGTTGTCTCCCATGGCTCACTGGTATTTAGCCAATACCAGTTATGTTGTATGTGTTTTTTTTTACGGCCTCCACATGCTGAAAGAATTTCCTACAAATTACTCAATGAGAGTACACAGCAACATCACCCCCATCCTGCTGAGGCTTTTCGAGGTAAATAATCCTTAACGTTAAATGGTCCTAACATGACAAGTATGGGACGACTAAAGCTCTCCTGGATAAATGGCATTGTCACAATGTGTTCTTGCAAGAGCACGAATGCATGTTGAATGGACCACCGTGTTGACTGCCATGTTCATAATGCGTTAACTGTCTTGGCATGCCCCTGAAGCCGGCGGGGGGGGCACTCCAAACCTGCAAAAAAACAGCCCCCTCCCCCCACCCCCTTGTTAAATATCCAAATGGTGACAAGAGTCGGAGTGTCCTCATAGCTCAAGTGGAGCGATTATAATCTCTTGTCGATAAATCCCATCAGAACAGAAGAACTAGTGCAAGGCTGTGAAAGAGAGTTTTATTAACATAGCCAGATTTTTTTATATATTTGAAGCTTTGGTGACTGCAGGGATTCATATTCTTGGTTCTTTCGGTAAAGTCACGTAGAAGGGAAACAATAAAATAATAAAAATATTGTTGGGATGAATATAAAACAATACATTTATATTTTTATTATTTTATTGTTTCCCTTCTACGTGACTTTACCGAAAGAACCAAGAATATGTATAGCCAGATGTGTCCTTTTCCTCATCCAAACCACCATTTATGAAAAGCTGGTGGGCCATGTTTGCTAAACTTTTTGAGCGAGTGGTCTGGATTAGGCCTCGGGGTTTTTGTGCGTGCAACGCTGCACACCTCCATTGTGTTGTTCATTCCAAGTGGAGCACCGGCCCACGCTCCACGGCCAGAGCCGCTCTTCAGCAGCAGTGGAACAAAGTGCAGAAGACCGAAGCCAGTTCATGAGTTTAGGCTATGAACTTCTGCAATAAGAACACAATTTAACACGTTGGCTTTCACGACCAATATCCATAATAGAGGTTTTTTGGGCGAGACCGCACAGAAATCTGCTCTTATTAAGACGCTTTATTCATCGAGCTAAGAAAGTGTCAGATGGTGACAGTCTGAGAAGTGAAATTCAACATGTTATAGCGCTGCAAATGAACGGTTGCAATGATGCACAAATCAACAGGGCATTGAATGCCAAAACCAAATAAAATTACACGAGCATTGAAACTACCCAAGTAATTAAAACGATCAAAATACCGTACATTGCGGGGGTAACTGATAAACTAGCCAGATGTTTTGAAAAAAAACATCAGTCAGATTTGTCACGGTACATAAAATACAGTAATTAATATCTGGTACAAAAGATATATTACCGAAGCTATCAAGAGAAGGTGTGGGATTAACTGCACGTGTGGCAAATGTTATGTTTTTAAAAAAACCTATTAAAGACAAATGGTCAGCACGAGACTAAAAGAACATCAGAGAAATATTAAATACTCCCAAATACAACTGTCAGCAGTAGCAGAACACGCGTGCCAACAAGAACACTCAATTGGTTTTGATGTTGAAGTTCTGTGCAAAACTAGCTACTACTGGCCAAGTCTAATTCGAGAATCTATCGAAATTTTAAGAAATAAAAATAATTCTAACCATTCGGATAGATCCCGCCTTAGTGCTGCGTGGAAGAGAATAATCAAATAATAAATTTGTCGTGACTGTGAATGTCACTGTGTGGTGCCGGGCTTACGAAGCCACGGCGGATAATAAATTGGCATTATGTGCAGCCCGGTTACTGGGCGTTAGTACGAGCCCTAGCGGGGCTTGAGTGAGCGCTGGTGAGCACAGAAGCACCACGTACAGTGTGCGGTGCGGGCTCCCGGTGAGGGAGCGAGAGGGAGTGTCAGCCAGCCAGGGTTACGTTGGGGCATGATACGCTGGTTGACCTGCTGACACGTGACCGGATGATATTGGAGGGGGGCCACCGGTGGACGGGAGCCGCTGGGCGGTCACGTGGTATAAAAGAGCTCTCGGCAGCCTTCGGGAAAGAGCTGGAGAGATCTAGAAGGTGGGCGGGGCGAGGGGCGGAGCCAGCCCCAGCCCAGGCCGATATAACGGGTGCCCCATGAGGGGCTCGGGGTTCTTCGTGTTGCTGGTGATGAAGATCCACGTCGGGTAAAAGAAGCCTCTAGCCACGCGGTCCGGGACCCAGCTCGTGGTCCGGGCCGGGATAGCGAACCGTGTCTAGTTCTGCCATAGCGCGTAGGTTGTGTTATGTTATGATGAGTTGGTGAAATAAATAGTGTTGCTCCCAAAACAATGTCTGCGACTCAGTTGGACTCATTACACATTGATTTAAATGCATGCCTATAAAGGGCTCCATACTTCAATAGGGATTACCATTGGTACGCTATTTTAATACACAATGGACAGGAAGAACACTGCCAAATCGCTGCGCGTGACGCTAACGTTTTTTTATAAATAAATAAATGCGCCGTTTAAAAATAAATTTATGCAAACCAACACACCTGAAGATGACCGTTTGAGTTATGGTCGAAACGTCGTGAGAATTTTTTATTGTTTTATATATATTTTATTATTT